ATATGCTCAGTATGACAGTGGCATGGTAACAGAAGTTCAGAATATTTACAGCAAAGTTCTCTGATTCCCAGCCCCCGCCCCCAAAAATAAAAAAAATTATAAGAATTACCATGAGTCTGACAAATAAATTTAATATGTGCTTGAACCTATTGTGCCGTTGGCATAGCAAACTAATCCCTAATGTGATTAATGGAAAGCACATCATAGACAGGAGGATGCAGTTAACTCACTTGTTGGCGGAACAAAATCAAGACAATCACTGACATTTGTCCACCCAAGTAAATGCCGAGACAGTCTCTCGAGTAAATGTTCTCTCTTTAACTTTATCTTTAGATTTGTTTGAGGTCACAGGAAATCTCTTTAGTGTCTTTAGAGTCCTGGCTGATTTCTAGGACACTAAGCTGGCATCAGCTTCTTCAACTCTGTGTCCTCCCCTTGTTTAAAGCGGCCACTTTTGTACTTGTCTACAAAGCACGCATGCATGTGCGCACTCACAGTCAGGATGTCTTGAGCTATCACATTGTCGTCTATGGACCCCATTGAAATGTACTACGCATTTCTTTTCAGTTTCAAATAACCCAATATTTGAATAAATACTATACTTTTTAATTGGTATTGCTCTTCACTAATTTGACTTTCATGCTGGCAGCGTAGGTTCAGTTCTCCCTCAGTGACGATGTGACTGTGACTGGTTTTCCATCTCTACAGTGTTCCTGTATGTGCTTTCCAGTTGACTGACAGCAGTTCAGGGTTTTGTGTGCCCTTCAACGAAACTCATGTGCGATGGACTTCAGCTCACCCATGACCATGAACAGAATAAGAATAGATAAATGATACCTAATATGTGTAATATTTTGTGACATTGGTTAATATGTTAGTTTAAAGCTGCGGCCAGGTCGAATCCTCACATTTCCAAACATTGCATTGTCAAAGAGAACAAGTCATTTTCAACACTTCAGATTCATTTCCATCCATCCATTTTCAGATCCGCTTATCCTCATAAGGGTCGCGGGCATGCTGGAGCCTATCCCAGCTGTCTTCGGTCAGTAGGCGGGGGGGGCACCGTGAACCGGTTGCCAGCCAATCGCAGGGCACACAGAGCCAAACAACCATCCGCACTCACATTCACACCTAGGGACAATTTAGAGCACATGTCAAAGTCAAGGCACGGCGGGGTCATCAAAACTTCTAGATCTACACACCGGTCACATGTAGATCTTGCAAATTGTGTTTCTGTTTTATTATCTACATTCAATACATGTCCTACTTTTATCAGGTCATGCAGCGATGCTTGTTTAGGTTCCAGCCTGAGTTGGTATGGAAAACCCAACTATTTCCACACCAACTCCGACTGATGCATCATTCAGGAGGATCTCAGGACGTCATTCTGAATAAACGTCGTTAAATACCGCACGTCACTGAACAGCTTACATAGAAAATACAGTCCCTCCAGATTGAAACCTGAAAAGCTCTCAGGTCGCCTACTTTAAGATTACCGGCTCTTCTCCGGGGTTTAAACTAAATATGGCGAAGCTTCCCTGAGCCACTATACCGCCCAAATTGGGAACTGCGGAAAGAGAGGAAACACGATTGACACAGTTCAGCACTGACACTAATTCTTACATTTAATCATAAATTTTGACGTTGTGAATTATGAATGGAATTTATACTCATTCTGGTTTTACAAAAATGTTTGTTTTTTGTTGTTGTTGTTGAAGTGAAGAATTAAAAAAGTTATTACGATATAAGTAAAGACATTTGTGTTTAGTACTGTATATTATATGCCATTGGAAAGGCTTATAATTTTAAATGGTACCACATGTGGGATGAGCAGCAGAGCTGAGTATCCGGGTTGTGCCCATGAAACATTTGCCAAATCTCTACCAAAGCCTAAAATTTTATTTTGCTGTTGTCACCGACTCTTGTTGAGTGTCTGGGGAAGAACCATTTGCATCCACGACAGCCTGAAACTTCCTCCTCATGCTGGTCGCCAGCCTGATGTGGGATGGCATCCCATCCGTCAACCAATGTGATTGAGTCATTCTGGTACGAGCAGCATGCCCAAGCCGATCCCACAAGTGTTCAATGGGTTCGAGGTCAGGACTGCTGGCCGGTCATTCCCCCCTCTCTACTCCCGAATTCTGGCGGTAGTCTCTGATAAAGCTAGCTCGGTGGGGGCCCCGACCATCCAACTGTCGGAATGTGGGCTCATCACTGAACATAGCGTTTCTTCACTTCCTGTGGTTCCAGTGCACTTCATGGTGTAGGGCAGATTGTGAGTTAGAACTTGACTCCAAACAATTCCACAACTTGGTTTTGTGGAACACCACTTTTTCTGATCATTGAAATATGGCATGCTGTTTCTTGGAGCAGACACACTGAGCACTGTTGCGAGGCCCATGCTCAGAGGTGCTACCGAAAGGGTAGGTACCAGAAGCGGCAAAAAAAAAAAAAAAAAAAAAAAAGCAAAATAAGCTGCCAGGCACTGCCAGAAAAGATATGGCAAAATTTTCATGGGTGCATCCCATATACTCAGCTCTGCTGTCCAACCACCAAATTTGTGTTCCATACAAATGTGGCACCATTTAAAATGTTCAGAAACACGACTCTAGCGGAATATTTATTGCCAAGAAGCATTGTCACAACAAGGAAATAATCTACCAAACACAGATTTCCTTTTTGTGTTGTTTATTTAAAAAAAAAAAAAAAACTCTATTGCATTACTTTGTGAAGTTCTATGAATTACATTTTACGATGTAAAGTTGGATCTAAGTCTTTAAGGGTTGGATGGATGACTGGGTTGCCCCAGTAGATTTTTATTATTCGATTTCCCTTTTTTCATGTATGTAATGACATAATTATTGCTATTTAAAAGGTTTGGTGGAGTGTTCACTATCAAGGTAACTCAAATACTCCAAATAGATAGAGCACATTTTAAATGCAGATTGATAGATGGATAGAAAAAAAAGCGATAAGACAACAATATTTTTTTTTCTAGATTTTAAGGGTAATGCTTGTGTCCCGTCAAATACTCCAAATAGATAGAGCACATTTTAATAGCAGATAGATAGATAGATTAAAAAAAAAAAAAAAAAAGCGGTAAGACAACAATATTTTTTTCTAGATTTTAAGGGTAATGCTTGTGTCCCAGCAAATCACTTGTAATGTTTTGATCCGCTGGCGTTCTAATGTCAACGTTTCCTTTCCCTCACCGTTCAACACAATGTGGTCCGGTTGTGTCAAGTGAAAACTCTCAGCGCATCTTTTGTCCCAAAGACAAAGAATTTCTCAAAAGAAAGTCTTGAGCTGGGCTTCATTAGGCGAGGCCTCCTCCCGTGGGCCGTGAATGAAATTGACATTTAATACAATTAGTTGAGCAGAAAACAGCTGCCAATCACTCTTAAAGGGGAAGGATTCCAATTAATAAACCCTCCTCGTAATCCCCTTGTTTCACCTCCCACCAGCCTTGTCCACCTCTCCCTCTCGCCTCCTCCCGCCTCTCGTTTGCGCTCCTCTCCGCAGTGCACGCTGGCTGAACTCTACTCCCAAAACTTTCTTCACCAACAACTGCGAGCGTCTGGCTGCGCTGTTTTGTACGTTACATGTATACTTTTTTTTTCTCCCCCAAAGAGATGCGATGCGAACACAAGCTGCAGAGTGAGGGCGCCCAGTGGATCCCGGAGGAGTAAATGTGAAGCGGAGCAGCATCAGTAACTGAGCAACACGCTTACTCGTAACAGCAGGTAAGTGGTCGCGGGCATCGTTTGGACTGTTACTTTTTTCTCTCATGTGAGCTCATGAGGTTCTTGAGTTCTAGTGAGCAAACAGGACATTTGAAAAGTTGATGTCATCAAATAGCGAACCATATTTCTTGAGTGTACTTCCACTCTGAGCACATATTCAGCCCACAAATGTATTTATATTGTTTTATTGTATTTTTGCTCTTCCTATTTAGGTATGCACTGTACTGCCAGACCACTGGGAGGCATAATTGTTTTGTTTTTTTCTTTTAAATGGCAAAATTGTAATATTCAAATGTCAATGAAATAACGCAAAGACTATTGTGAACTTCATTAGATTTATGAAAATTTTTGAATTAATAGTTTGTAATAAGATAAATACAATATTGTTACATTATTTTAAGCAAAAAAAAAAGACTCAAGAAAAGTTTGTGATCTGTAAAAAAAAACAAACAAACTTAATGTTTCGTTCAAATAGCAAAAACATTGATTGAAAATGTGATATCAAGTGTGTAAAATAAACGGACGGGTAACACTTTATTGCAGATAGGTAAGTGAGTAAAGAATTAGCAAAAACAATTTAGTGAAGTTATTTTAAGTATCCAAAGCAAGAGAAAGTCAGTTTAGAAAGATAGTTTACCAATGTATAAAAGACTTTTAAAATTGACAGTATTGACAGAATAAAAGAAAGTCGGAAACTTTGATGGGGGGATGATGGATGACAGATTAAACGGATAAAATGTAGAAAGAAAGCTATGATCTATGAAGCCAACGCCTGAAAAAAAATCATTAATAGATACTAATATATAAGCATTTTTGAAAATGAAATAATAGATTAAAAAAATATGAAAAGGGTTATATATAGCACATATGTAAAGTCAGGTGTACGTCTCAAGAAAGAATTGAAGGAGGCCTATTTTAGAATCAGTCTCCTGTATGGAATGATGCAATTGTTTCCAATTCATAGTTTGGTGGGGCATTCGCCATTTCAAGCTTTCTTACATTCTGACGGTGGATGGAGTTCTGGTTGCTGTAGGTCCAATTTGTAAGCTAAAAGTCAACAGTGAGGGTTTGTGTCCTCTTAATGGTCCAAACTTTGAAAGTCGAGGGGATAGACTTTAGGACCCCCCGCCACAGTCCACAGCTAAGCGGGTTTAGACACACGTCAGGCTTCCTCCGAGGTAACGAGGTGATCTCTGACCTCCTATTTGCGCGGCGTCGCTCAATTAGGCCTCCTCCCCTCTGGACGCAGGAGCCGCTGAGGGGCCCCACACGCTCGGATGCATTTATCACTGGATACCATGAGCATGGTGGACGACAGCTGCCTCTCGCCCAGCAACTTCCACGACCTGGCCAAGGGCGGAGGCGTCACGGTGGGGGGGCACGTCCACAGCATCGACGTCATTCTGGGATTCAGTAAAGACCAGGATTCCCTGCTCGGCCCCGTCGGGGTGCCGGGGCCTCAGAAGGTGGGCGTCGAGGGCTTGGCGGATTCCGGAAAGCAGCACGAGTCTCACCCGTCCTACAGTGGCCACCTTGAACCCCTGCAAGATGATAACTCGGACCAGCAGCACCAATATCAGGGTGAGTTGGGCTTGAGTCACTTAAATGGAAATGGACCTCACACACCTCACCAGAACACAGTAAAACCACGATTTCACCGAGTGACGAAGCTCATGAGAATCATGAAAAACTTCATATAATACTTGAAAAATGACTTTATCTTAGTGTATCATCACGAAATATGTAATGATCCTGAATCTGAAAACATGTTTTTAAAATGATATACTGTTGCCATTCATACAACAGAATCTTAACTGTCTTTAATGAAACAGGCACAGATGTCCGACTAACTAGTACATTTACAAACTGAGACAAGAGCATCATTATTTCAGTGTGCAGTGGTGCCTTGAGAGACGACCCCATGACTTTGCTCGCAATTCAAAACACTCGTATCTCAAATCATCTTTTCCCATTGAAGTAAATGGGAATGTCATTAATCTGTTTCAGCCCCCCCACCTCCAAAAAAAAAAGAAAAACACATTCGTTGTACTATGTATTGGAATATCACTCCATAATATTGTACTCACAAAAAATATGTACTACTGACATAATTAAATAGAATAAAACAGATTTTGCACCAGTTGAATGGCAATGGTGCTGCTCTTTCTGGTGAGCCCGCCTTGGCTTCAGGCCAGCATAAGACAGACAAATGCATATACTGCATGGTCATTGAGAAATCTCAATTTCTCTTGGTTCATCAGTACATCACTAATATTAGTCATTTTTCACAGAGGATCAAGAGTATGATAGTGAATAACTACTGTTATATTGTCTGTCTACATGTGTTCCTACACCGTTTGTCTTCAGTCCGTTGCTTCAAGGGATATAGTGCCAAACAGAGAGGCAATGCCATGAAGGTAGCAATCTGAAAATAAGATATATGGTTGTTTTAAGTACACAAGGGGTAATTCTCTTTGTTTTGTTTGATTTGATCGTGGACTTCAACTGGGGATGGGAATGAACAAGTTGAAGCCTTCTTTTTGAAGAATTCTATTTGCCAACTGCTGTTTGTTGTGAACCTAATTGAACAGATTTATTTTTTTTATTAAACAAAAAATTGCCTGAATACTCAATGATTAAAATCTTCAATTTATGTCACCAGTGTTGACACTGGAGCAGATTCCAAATCACCAAGTTTCGCCACGCTGCCATGTCCAGTATGTTGCATTAAATGAGCTGTGTGGGCTGAGATTGGGAGATAAATCACAGAACAAGATGGTGCTGGGGGTTTATGCCCCCGAAGGCCAATCCCATCTCCTTGTGGAATTCCCCCCTAATCTTCTCTTGCGTGCAGATTAGAATCCACGGGCCTTCGTTCTGTTGTCACTGTTAGGTTATGTGGATGTCTAATCTGAAGCTATCTTTACGTCTGACAGGTGGTAGATGACTTTGTGGCACAGACATGACAAATATTAATTCCCATGAATTTGGGAAGAGTACATGCATATGAAGAATGATGAGGATTGCAATTCAAGCTTGATCCACACATACATGAGTGTCTTTCAAAATATGTTTTTCCTCAATCAGTGGTTTGATTTCCAGGGGAACAGGGGGCGGTATAAACTGTTTGTCCTGCCCTGATGCTCCTGTTCCACTCCAGTCCTATGGGTGGCAGTACTGTGCACTATTTACACTGATGTATATTATCATCATCTGCTGGTTCACTGCCCCACTTGGCCCCAATGCAAGCAGACTGTAACATAATTATCTCCTTGATCTGCGTATCTATCCCGAGTCCCTACAAAAATTAATGGCCGGTCGCTTATGCAGTTCTTTCTTCATAATCCATTTTACTCAATGACCTTAGACACCAACAAACACCAGTGAAATATTCAAAATCAGCCAAAAAATAAAATCATGTCTCACAAGGATATAAAATTGAAAAAAACCACACCAAAAAAAAAAACTTAACTAAAAAAATATATTTATATTTGACTCAAAATGCAGCTTGTGAATAGAAATGCAGATTAGAAAAATATGCATATTGAAGACCATTGAGACCATTTACAAAGACTGCCCATCCTTCTTCGGTTTTACTGTATGTAACTGTCCTGTTCTAATGTTCAACTACTGGCCTGTAGGTGGCAGTAATGTGCATTACAAAGTTGCAGCGAACTGTCACACACAACAAGCTTTTTTCATTGTCGTGCCACCCGATGGAGCTTTTGTTTTGGTGTACTCCTTGCTTACCACAAAAAAAGTAAACCACAAAAAAAAAGAAAATAATAATAATAATAATAAATAAATAAACATTATTTTCATACATGAATTTACAAATATATGAATGTCGATAAAGAAATAATAAAAGAATGTCTCTTTTTTGTGGCCCAAAATTGATGTTGCGACGTGGCAACTTAAAACGCCTCATTCCACATTTTTCAAACTACTCCATGAGGCCATTTGCGGTGACATCATCTTTTGTACAGTATGTAACTGTCCCGTGAAGTCAGGCCACTTCCCCTTGGATGAGCAACTTTTCCCAAGTTGGGTGTCATTCACCCCCGCCCCAGAACTGCCCGCTTCCCCTCCCTTGTGTGCTGGCTGCTAAACAGTGGGCATCCTTCAGACTAGCGACTGTGATGGGCTGACAGGCACAAGAGTTGGTCGCTGAACCACACCCGACCTCGGGCCTTTGTCCCAGCCCCGGCCTTTGTCAGGGCTGCTTAATGAGAGCTCGATAAAGAAGGCTCCGCATCCAGCATTGTCGCCAGGCGCGCTCCAGCTCGCCACTTGAAAGCGCACCACGACCCCTCCTTTATGTGCCACCGGCGCGTCTCATTCTCCGAAAACAAGCCGGCTGCTACATGGCCCGTTCGTTTGCTTTTTCCAAACAATGATGTCCCATACAGGCTACGAAGTGGAACATTCGAAATGAATGCAATCAGGAGTTCATTTCTGACTTGTGAACTAACGCTGACGCAAGGGCCGAGACACATACATACTGTATTTTACATTTGAAATAGCAACATGACAAGTGGCCGCCATCTTTGTGGAATTTTGGAGAAAACATGGAATGAGCACTTCGAATGCTTCCAAAATTCTCCCTGACATAAAAATTTATGAAAAAAATCGTGATTGCTGAAGCTCACGACCCATTCTGCTCTTCTCACCAATTAACTTCCATTTGCGCTAATTTAGTTGAGCCTTTACGACAAGTCTCTGCATTTGAAGCATGGTCATTTTGACCCCCTGATGTCTCAGAGCAACTGGTGGATATTTTTTAATGAAACTTGCTTGCCAACCTGAGAAAGGGGTTCCCCTAATAGAAGAGAAAACACAAGAGTTGAGGAGAACGTTTAAAAAAAAAAAAAAGAGGTTATACAGTTTTACTGTAATTGGATGGTATTTTTTGGCCAGATTTTCTACAGGCAACATCGCACAAAAACATTCCTCAAAAAGGCAATCCCCCACCCCCCCAAAAAAAAAAAAATCTCCAGAATTTTCTACTCTACTGCAAGGTTTTATTCCAAAAGGTAACTCGATTTAAGGCCAAGGAGACCCATTTAAAGCCATATAATAGTTTGTAACTCCTTTTTAGCTTCATTTAGACTTCAACGATGGCTAAATAACACTTCATTTGCTTGAAATTTACACCCATCAATCTTGGCGAATGTATTCCAATGTAGGATACTTCGCAATATAAATCAGGATGTATTGTATTGTATTGTATTGTATTGTATTGTATTGTATTGTATTGTATTGTACTTCCGTTTCATAATCTTGGATGTACAATACTTGCTATCCAGGCCGTGGCATTTTATTTCGTCAGTTTTACTTTAGGAGCAGATAAAGGGTGGAAACAAGTTTAACAAATCCGATTAGCAGTGTTTACGAGCCTCATTGAGGTTGAGAGGATTGACGGCTTCACTCATCTACAGTAGCTTAATGATGCATGTGTCCAACTCATTGCTGCTTGTCTGGAATGTGTGCCTCACATTCTTCAGTTCCAGTAGATGTTTATTTTGTAAATGTTAGTTATACTCTGCGGCCCGGTGATCCAGTGGTTAGCACGTCGGCCTCACAGTGCAGAGGTACCGGGTTCAATTCGAGCTCTGGCCTCCCTGTGTGGAGCTTGCATGTTCTCCCCAGGCCTGCGTGGTTTTCTCCGGGTACTCCGGTTTGCTCCCACATTCCAAAAGCATGCATGGCAGGCTGATTGAACACTCTAAATTGTCTCTAGGTGTGAGTGTGAGACAGGATGGTTGTTCGTCTCTGTGTTCCCTCCGATTGGCTGGCAACTGTTCAGGGTGTCACACGCCTACTGCCCAAAGACAGCTGGGATAGGCTCCAGCACTCCCCGTGACCGTGAGGATAAAGCGGATCGGAAAATGGATGGATGGATAGTTATACTCTTTAGATAAACCTGCGCAATCTAATAAGATTCAATACAACAACAGACCTCCACTGTTATCAATACCCAAAGTTGATAAATATTCATAGATGACCACCATCTGTTTTGATTTGGAGACTGAAAACAGAAACAGAAATCAAACAGAAATTAGAAGGCAGGCTTTCCAGGCCCACTTTCTTTCGAACGAAAGTGGGCTTGGCTAGCCAGGCTAGCTGTTTGTTTCTTCAACAAAGAATACAAATGTTTCCTTCAGGATATTAATTGCCACTCCCTGTTAACAAAATAAAGATGAAACATAGATAATTGCACGTTGTGTATTTAGCCACATAACCACATAACTTTGTCTTACTCAAGCCTGCTAACTTAATGTTAAAACATAATGGGAAAAGCCATTGACAGGCTAACAAAACTAGCTTGTTATTGTGGTAGTATAATGTTTTTAATGAACATGTACTTGAACACAAATGTAGCAACACATGTAAACAGACAATATAAAAATACTCCCAGGCATATATTTCTTTATCCTCCGTGAGGAAAATTTTATACATTATGTTGCCCCTGGTGGCCGAGACAGACACCAGCCACACAATAGCCATGAAATCATGACGAACAAACAGTTGAATTCTGTACTTTTTATTTTCTTATTTTATTGCAATATATTTCTATGAAATCCAACACTACACAGTATCATTTTTTCTTAGAAGAACATGTTACAAATATTTTTTTGTGGTGTTTTTTTTTTTTCGGGGGGGGGGGCATGAACAGAATTCTACCAACTCCATTTATTGAAGAGTTGAGATTGGAGCGTGGTGACTGAATGAATAAAAGCCACACAGTGAGTCAAAGTGTGTGTGTGTGGGGGGGATGAAAATATGAATAAAGTCATCACCCTTGTGTTTTTGTGCAGATGCCGACCTGTTTACCAACAAGTGCGAGGAGGAACTCAGGAAGAGCGTTGAGAGCGATGAATGCAAGTCACCCGAGCCGGACAAGGACGATCAGCCCAAGAAGAAGCACAGACGCAACCGCACCACCTTCACCACCTACCAGCTGCACGAGCTGGAGCGTGCCTTCGAGAAGTCTCACTACCCTGACGTGTACAGCCGCGAGGAGCTGGCCATGAAGGTCAACCTCCCCGAAGTCAGAGTTCAGGTAGGACTGGTGTCCTCAATTCAAACGTCTGGTTCTCCCCCCTACAACCCCATAGTCAACTTGGGAGCAAACCGTGATCGACTGGTTTGGCAGACCTGTACGGTCATGACCAGAGAGATCAAATGAGACTTTGGTAAATCCCTTAAAAGGAGCACTGTACTTGTCAAAATAGTCTATTCATAGATTTGGCTTCATATACAAAGGCCAGTAGTGCCTTGCGAATATTTTTCAAGCATTTTCAGCTGGAGACCCATCGAATACCCACATGTCCGTATTGCCAAAATCTGACCTGGGATCTTAACCCTGAGTTTGGTAAACACGGTAATAGGACACCAGCAGCTCGCCAACAAGTCATCGGGCCTTGCTTGCCAAGTCAAGCGATTATACCAGATCATTACGCAAGTCGCAGTTTGTGTGTTTCCAAACATATTAACCCTTAAGAATTTCCAGTCTCTCCAGTCGCTGTGATCCTATCACGTCGAGACGAGACGTCATAGCCAAGTCAACATAACATTTACTCAGAAACGTCTGCCAAAGATTTTGGCTGATCATGTCAAGATTCACTCTTGAACTGTTCAGTTCAATGAGTTTGAACGCACTGAAAAAGAAATGTTGATGTACAGCAGACTTTTTGTCACCAAATTTCCACTCCACCAAGACTTTGGTTCTGCTGTGCCGCCCCTCCCCGCCAACTTGGTCGACACCGGTCTGATGTGGCAAAGAGCGTGGTGAGCCTTACGCTGATAGAAAAATCAAGAACTGCCAGCATTAGCGCCATGGCATGAAGCACTATCTGCAAAACCAGAGCCCTGTGTATTAACCCTTTCAGGGATAGCAGTTACGACAGTGGACAGTTTAACATGTTATCAGGTTACAGGGTGCATGAAATGGTTCATGTCACGTGTGCAGCGTTTTACAGATGTGTTTTGCTCGTCGAAGTTGCCTGTAATAAGTTTTGCTTTGGCCTACCAACATCCTGGTCCTTTGAGGACAAATTTGAAATGATTGTTGGTTGAAGAAAGTCTCATTGCGAATATAGTTTGAATTGCATCGGATGGCACTGCTGATTCTGAAGGCCCGTGGCAGATGAGATTGATGCGACGACACACAAAGTCTGGAATCTGATTAGATGAAAAAAGAATGCAAGACCGTGGGGAATAACTGAATCTATCTTCAAACTCCAGGTGTGGTTTCAGAACCGAAGAGCTAAATGGAGGCGTCAGGAGAAAATGGACGCCAGCACCATGAAGCTCCACGACCCGCCGATGCTGTCCTTCAACCGAGCGGCGCCGGTCCACTCCACCATGGGACCCATGAGCAACTCCCTCCCCTTGGACCCGTGGCTGACCTCCCCCTTGTCCAGCGCCACGCCGGTCCACAGCATCCCGGGCTTCATGGGCCCGGCTCAAGGCCTCCAGCCCAACTACCCGGGCCACGGTTTCCTCAACTCCAGCCCTCATCCGTCCATGGGTCAGGGAATGCAGAGTATGGCGGCGCCTCCCCCTTACCAGTGTCCGGCGCCGTACCCCGACAAGTTTCCGCTGGAGGACATGGACCAGCGCAGCTCGAGTATCGCTGCACTGAGGATGAAAGCCAAGGAACACATCCAGTCCATGGATAAAACCTGGCTACCCATGTGACTAACAACAGGGAGTGACACTGAGTGGCTCCTCAGAGTGCTGACATGATCGCACGATGGCAGGGACCTTACCCACAATGCAAAGGAAAAAGATTCGAAACTGGGGATATAGGGACTTTCTTTTTACGTTTTAATTCTTTTTCTTTTTTTACATCTCAAGGACATAAAGTGGATGAGTGACGTGTTCTCAAACTGCCCTTTTTAATTTTGCGGCCATATTTTCCATGGCCATGAGTCCATCATTATAAGTCAATTGAATCGGTTATTAGATTGTACTTTCTGCTGTTTGCTTCTGACTTTTATCCCCTTGCTTTCCTTTCTCCCTATTTTTTTTTTTTTTTTTTGGATAAATAGAATCCAATTGCCAATTTGTTAATGGTCTAATCAGAGTTTAAAGTGCAAAGGAGTATCAGGGCAACACTGAGAAGACGAGTCCTGTCGGAGAATTTGGATATTGAATCTTCCAAAAATATCACAAATTTAAAAAAGAGGCTTTCTCCCCCTCTGAAAATTACCGCTTCTTAGTCTCATACATAACTTTGTTTTCGTGAAACTATAAGTGCATGTCTATGCTCTCCAAAGATATATTTTTGTCATAAATTACTAACTTTATTTAAAATAAATAAATAATAACTTCCCCACCTCAATATTTCTCACTTTATTCTTCTAAAATCCCAACTTTATTCTCATAAGACGAAAGGCGAAAAATGTGTGTGTGGGGGTGGGACGGTTCTCAGAAAAATCCTTGGAGGATTTTGACTTTTCCTTACTTTTCGTGAATTCTTTCCTCCACCCCAAAAATGTCCAATTCAAACTTGAATCTTGAAAGATATCGCGTTCGCAAGGACAACTGCAACAATGAGTACAGGGACGGTGTTGGGAGCTGATGATCTCAACCACGGCTGCCTGTCTCAATCAAATAACTTAATTTTCATCAAATTAAAAATGTCTGCCTTTTTCCCCTCCCCAAAATATTTTCCTCACGAATTTAAGACTTTCTATTAAAATATAAGTAAATATATATTTAATAATTGATTGAGTTTGAAAATCACAAGATTTTTTGGTCAAAAAATGGCATTTGTTTTCCTCGTGAAAAATACAATTCTGTTTCCTCATAATACTACGATTTGAATTTTTTTTTCTACTCTTTTCTAATATCATGAAAACTTTTCAGTGTGCCCTAATACTCATTTGTAGGTTTGATGCTGGAATCTTTTTTTTTCATTATTATTATGATTATATATATTATTATCACATAACTTTTACAGTTGATGAACACACCTGTACAGTTACTTGTAAGTTCAGTCATTCGTCCTGTGGGGTACATGCGTGTAGATGGTACTTTGAGCAATAGATCACTACTGTACCCCTATTCTTATTGGTGTGGGTTCATTTAAGCCTGCAGCTCACAGATGGCAAAAAAAAAAAGCCCCTTCTTAAAAAAAAAAAAAAAAAACTTGACTGTAAAGTCCAAAATTGCTCAAAGGACAGCAATGTCAGGGAAGACGGCACCTTCTAAATGGGAATATACCAAAAAATAATCATGCACAGTTGCTTTGTTGGTGTGCTGTCATGCTTTAACGAGGGAGGGACGGAATGTAGCAAGTTTAAAAAAAAAAAAAAAAAAAAAAAAAGGGGGGGGGTGTTGGGGGGGCTGCAAGGGGGAAAAAAATAACAACTGTTTTGCTTAATTTCTTGTGCTTGAGTGGCTGTTGGAGGAGAAAGGCTGTTGGCAGCTCAGTGTTGGGTGGCTGCGCGTACGTGCGGGGCAGCACCGTGTGATGCGTCACCCCACATAGTTCAGCCTTTGTTCAGCACAATTGATCCAAGTGCATTCTCTTTGTCTGCACTTGAGGGAGGGATGCGGGGTGGAGGGGGTGGGGGGTCTCGGGCAGGACTAAATAGACCCTTGTAACCATTTGTGGGTTTTTTTTTTCTCAATCAAAGGAGGGGAAGCATTGATTGGGGCTGCTATGATCATTAGTGACACTATATTGGTCTCGTCCATCTGTTCTTTGAGTTTGGCTCCAATTGTCATTAAAGTATAGACGCTCGCCGAAACACGAAGTGAATGGTTGGAAGATAATTATCAATCAGCTGCTCATTTTTGCATTTTGTGATGTGTGTGTTTTGGGTTTTTTTTGGATTGCGGGTTGTTGTTGTTTAGACATCTGATTGGACCTGAAACTATGGACAAATGAGGATTACCTTGCACAAATAGAGCTTCCTACGTGTGTGTGATTTGGGACCACGAATAAGCCAAAGTTTTATGGACAAAACTGCACTAGATGGCTTTTTTGTTTGTTTTGTTTTTCTAATGGCACAGGGTTTCTTTTTTTTTTTTTTTTCCAAACCCTGTGATACTGTTTTGTATGTAGAAATATGTGTCATAGCGATAGTCATTTCTTTCCTTTTGTCTGGAACATCAAGGTGCATATTCTAGAAAGACATGAACAAAGATCTACTGGAAATAAATATAGTTTGATAGAACATGTGTCACCGCTTTCTCACTTTCATGTTGACCCGTGTGCCCATTCCCACAGTTTTTTCCCCCTTTGGGCCCAGTAAGTCTAAAGAGCAATCCAAGATTACAAGAGAATAATCGTTATCATCTGACATACATGCGCAGAGACATTTTTCTTTCTTTTTCCTTGGGCTTGTCACTTGTGCTCCAACTCCCTTTGTGTGTGTGTCTCCTCTCTCTCTCTCTCTCTCTCTCTCTCTCTCTCTCTCTCTCTCTCTCTCTCTCTCTCTCTCTCTCTCTCTCTCTCTCTCTCTCTCTCTCTCTCTTCTTTTTTTTTCCACCCCTCCCAATCCTCCATAGTTGGATGGCAGGGTGCCAGCCCGTTAGGAAGATGAGACTCCAATCAATCAGGGCTTCCCAGGGGGGCCTCTGACCACAGGACCTGGCTTCCTAATTGCCCCCAAGCAAGCCAGCGAGGGAGCGAGAGAGCTAGCGGCCAGGCCGTGAGGCAGCGAGGCCTGCAGGCTGAGCCACTGCAACACATGTTGACGTTTCGGGCCGCTGCATCACTTTCTTGGACAGATGGACGGCCATATGCGCGTAGGCGCGTGGATACAGTAAGAGGGTAATGTTTACATGTTTCTGTTATCATCTAACCAAAGATATCATCTGCTGTGTCACACTTCAGGGGTTTGTTGTTGTGTTGATTAGCTGCGGCTGTTGAAAAAACATCCCAACTGATACAACAGTAAAGGCCCCCCACCATTTGCTCCTCGTTATTCCCCAAACTACAAGATGGACAGAAGTTCTGGAATGAATTTCCCCAGTGAGGTTGATTCTTGATTTTGTTTAATTTTTTTTTCTACTTCAAAAAAATAATTGCAGCCACTTTATTTAGAATACCAACCTTTTCAGTTGCAACGTTCATTTGGTACATGGTCCTTCAGTTGGGGACTTGTCTTAATACCGCCGCTATCACGTGACGTGGCAGTTTAGAGAAGCCATCAACACGATACAAAGACGCAATAGAACAGCATGCAACTGTTCCACGTACACCATCTTGAGCAGTTCACAATCAATATTAATCTAATGACATGACAAAAAACATCGAAATAAGCTCCATCATGTGCTCTGTACAGATCGCAATAGACGTGTTTTGCTTGTCAAACTTGGCTTAGTCCAACCAACCAATCAGAGGACAGAAAATGATGACATTATTGTAGGCCAGCTTGCCGGCCTTGTGAGGAGAATTTGAAATCCAATTGGCTAAAGAAATAGTCTCATTGATTCTAAAGGCCCTGGGCGGGTTAGACTGACGCGGCAACACACAGAGGCTGAAATCTGATGAGGCAAGAAATCTAACGTCCACATATTGTATATTTATTGTAAGCAATGCAGCCAAGGTACAAAATGAATATACTGTTGCGATTAATTTCGTGCATGGAAAAAAAAATGTACAATTTAGGTAGCATATCACTCGCATTGGACCGAAACCTGTTCTGGAGAAATTTGTTAAATTGAATATAGTGTTGGTCAGTTCAGGAGTGTTAGTGTGTGTGTGTGTGTGTGTGTGTGTGTGTGTGTGTGTGCGTGCGTGCTGTTTTTACAAATAATTGACCAGTCTAAAGTGTTACAAATTGCTTACACTCTTTGATGATGCAATGTTATATGACCGGGATGTCAAACTCATTTTTGTCGCGGGCCACATTGTCATTACTGTTTCCACTCGGAGGGCCGTTATGACTGTGAATTTTGTAAAACCATATCAATGTTTAACCACCTCCGCATATTACATATACAATGAACAACAAATGGATGGATAACTTGTTTTGAAATCAGAAGTCAAGAATAATGGCTTGTTCAAACATTGTTGTTATGGTTTGGATATGACAATTTGAAATTTTGGTTCAAGCATCATGGAAGTTGACATGCTTGATTTGCTTTCGTGGGCCGTGAGGATAACCGGTGCAGAAAATGGATGGATGGATATTTATCTGTAGATTAAAGCAATGCATTATTTTTAATCAACTATTGAACTTGGGCATCCTGATAAGCATCATTGGTCGGTCAAATGTGCCTGTGAGCACTGAAGGGGCATTTTTCGGAGACGTCAACAAGAGGGACAAACGTTCTCCGTAAAGCTGATGAAAAGCAATCTGAGCTTGAGACAAAAAATGGCAGACAATGTGAGGATGTCAGAGTGGAAATAATGAAAAATGGAAACATGAAGCAGGAGATTAGGAAGCAGAAAAGTGTGGGAGAGAGAGGGAGAGATGGAGGAGGCGTGGAGAGGATGGTGGTGTTGGAGGGTGAGTGGGGGGGGGGGATGCTCATTGGAATTAATGATGGAGAAAATCCCCCAATTAGAGCGTTTTCCTGTGTTGCAGGATGAGTTCAGCGCGGGGTCCTTTGACAGCCCTGGGGATTAGTACCCAGGCCGAACCGAACCGGGCCGGGCCAGGCCTGAACGGGCACCGACTCGCCGGACAGCTTGGCACTGCTCAGTTGGGGCCCCGCTCGGGGCCGTGGTCCCAGCCAGGGGCCGGGGTAGGCATGCGTTGAGCCACAGCTAGTGGCACAAAGAAAAGCATGGGAAAAGAGCAACAGCAACAACACTAAAAAGTAATTGCATCCAAATTAACCCTTACATACTGTTCGGGTCAAATCTGACCAAGCTGCTCAAATACACAAAAATGTAAACATTTGAAACATTGTTTTGTGCATGCGATTCAAAGTTTTGGAAAATACTGAGGCTGTAACCGGGTCAAAATTGACCCATGGCCACTAAAACGGATTTTGGATTTACCGCTGTGTGTGTATGGACAATGGTGGGAATCTTGAAATGGTCAAACTTTACATGCCTTAAACTTTTTGTTTTTATGAGACAGTAGTGACGGTGTTCAAGAGTGTAGATCAAAGAGTCCCAATAAGTGTCTGTGTTTCACATTTGCACAGGTTCCCTCAGAAAAATACAACTTTTGGTTTAATTTAAACACATACCAGTACAATGACAAATCCCTTAAAATATAATTCCTTCATTTTATATCATATTTTCTTATATGGGTGTGCTTGGTAGTGTCAGGTTT